TCAGAGTGGATTACAGTACACATACGAGGCAAACATTCAATGCCTTTTACGCAATGAACAATGACATACAACACACAGATAAAGTAAAGGCTTTCCCATTTTCAACTCCGGCCATGGGGAGGTGCTCTTGTTCCATTTTCCATGCCAAGGAGCCTGTAGACATCTCCGATCTTTTTGCCAGCATGTCTTCATGGGGTGCCCTTTTTCCTTCCTGCCAAGGTGGAACCCATTGATCTACTCGCATTGCATGCTTTCGAACTGTAGGTTGGCAAAAGCTAGGGCTGACAGTTCTAGTATTTAAGTATTAATTTCTCTTTTTAAAGTGTATGATGGTGTTGTTGTTTTCCACCACCAGTCCGTCCTTGCAGCTCTGGCTCTTGGCAATTTAAAAGGAATGCTGATGCAGTTCAAAGAGATTGGAGTTTTGTGGAAAAAGGACAAGTATGACTGTGTAAGTACATAATGATAAAACCCAGCATGAAATCCTGGTGCAATTCCATTTGTGGTTGGTTAAAAGTGCAGGCAAACAATATTGTAAATCACAATTTTACAAATCAGCATCAGGGCTTTAGTGAATTCTATCTGACTCTCATAAAACCAATTCTGAAGCAGGAAATTGTATTCACGGCCTTCAACTACTTTATATAGGAGGATGGTAGTGGTACTGGTTGTTTTCCATTTGCTTATTCACACAAAAAAAAACATGCAATGATAAAGTACAGGCTGAACATCCTTTATCTACAAATAGCCATCCCCTGCCACGCGTTGCTGTGGGAGGTTTGGCCCACCCGTCCCCCCTCTCTCTGCCTCTCTCCCCCTCCCTTCCCCATAAGGGAAAGGGGGAGAGGCAGGTCAAGCAGCACCCCTCCCCCCTCTCTGTCTCTCTCCCCCTCCCATCCCCTTAAGGGGGAAGTCAAGCAGTACCCCCCTCTCTTTCTGTCTCTCCCTCCTCCTCCCTTCCCCATAAGGAAAAGGGGGAGGGGGAGGTCAAGCAGCACCCACTCCCTCTGTCTCTGGGACCAAGTGAGAGAGAGAGAGAGGCAGAGATGCCCGCCTTTCCTGAAAGTAGGCGCAAAAACAAAGGAGGGAGCAGAGGTGGGAGATATCTCAGCCGGAGGGGCTCTCTCTCTCTCTCTCTCTTGGTCCCAATGGCTGAAGAGAAAGTCAGGAGAAGAGGCGACTTTTGGTGCGCCCGCCAGGGTCTTCAGACACGCCTCCGGACCCGAAGCGGGCTAGGCAAGGAAGCAAGTGTGGCGCGGTGGCTCCACCTCTTGGGGAGAGGAGAGGAGCGCGAGGCAGGTGGAGCGCCGGGGGCTTGGGAAAGGGAGCCGGTCATGGGGAAGGGATCGAACATGGAGAACGATTGAGCGCCGGTTCTGTGCGCGCACCCGGCAGCTGGGTGGAGCAGGAACGAGAGGTGCTAGGCAAGGCTCAAGGGCCCGGCCCCTTCGGGAAGAGGATCGCCCGGCAGCGAGGCAAGGAAGCCGAGGCTCCCCCCGGACTGCTAGGGCTGTTGTGAGCGGAGGGGGCGCTCCTCAAGTGGCGGTCGAGGGGCATTTACAGAGGCGCCTCTGCACCCCTGGCAAAAAAGTGTTCTGCAACCGCTTACTTCGCGTAATGGACGAAGCGCGCCGGGGGGGGGGGGGGGGACTCAAAGCGGTTTCCAATATATTTATGGCAAAATTTAATACCTCACATACACATAAAACCTAACATAGAGCAACCATAATATATAAACTATCAATTAGATAATAAAAATAGAACATTTAGACAATTAAACATGGAATTAAAAACATCTATGTAAATAAAAATGTAATGTTCGTTTGTGGGATTAACGTAGATCAAAAACCACTGGACGAATTGACACCAAATTTGGGCACAATACACCTATCAGGCCAATGAGTGACCATCACTCATAAAAACACTGAAAAACACAGCAGAAGATACTTAAAAAGCCAAAAAACAAAAACATTACAAGGCATGCTCAAAACCACATATATACACAAACACACACATATATACACATATACACAAATATATACACACATATATATACATATGTACAGACACAAAGCACATATATACAGACTGGGCCACAGTAACGCATGGCAGGGGACGGCTAGTATTAATAAAAACATTAAAATCACATAATCCAGAAATCATGGTGCAAGGCTGTTCCAAATGTCCAATATCAATTGCACATAATCCCTAACCATTCCTTGTATTCCTTACTGCCCATAGGCTTGGTCTCATAGCCAAGGTTTTACTTTTTCTGAAGGCCAGGAGAGAGGACGCTCATTTAATTTCATTTTGGATAAAAGAATTTGGATACTATCTGAAAAATGTATACTTTTCCCTTTAGTTCTTTGTCCTAAGTAGTTGATGGCACTCCGTTTTGACTGTTTGTCTTAAAGAATATAATGCACAACATGCCTCCCAGAAGCTCTATTGAACAAAAAAGGGGAGCCAAGGGACAGGCAGATAATCCACATTACCTGCTTTCAGCTGGATTATATGAGTTTACAGTGCCATATAATCCAGATCAAAGTAGATAATCTGGATTTTATATGTCAGTATAGAAGGGAACACATTATGTTCCTTACACCTCGAGTCAAAGATCACTCTAGTCAATGTCTAAACCTAAACCTTAAGTCATAAACTTTATGGCTAAATGTATTTTCTGTGAATCATCCCCGGTGCTTGAGAAAGTTATGCTGCCTAGGAATTCTGAGAATTACGATCCAAAAAGTAATTTCCCAAACTCAGATAATTGCTACTAACTTTAGCATGGCTTCTTTTACCAAACTTTTATCAGTGCAATTAGAAGTGAGGGACGAAAATGCCTTGCATCTCCATGTGTTTTTTAAAAAATAACTGAATGTCTTCATGTTATCTGATCATATTATCTAATATTCATTTATTTTCTTGTTTATTTGTCAGTTTATCTGGATTGTTACCTTCCTGGCTGCTATTTTACTGGGGCTGGATCTTGGACTTGCAGCGGGGCTCGGATTTGAACTCCTGACTGTTATATTCCGTGCACAGTTGTGAGTAAACGTTTATACCATGTCTATCCAACTTGTCACCTGAAACTCTTGTAGTAGCAAAAGTTTTGAAAGTTATTTTATTAGTATTTGGTATAGTAATGAACTAAGTAATTAATCAAGTAATTAGCACAGTAATCAAATTAATTAACAATAGACTGGCATGCTGTTCAGCAATTATGAGAATGCAAGCTGGACTCATTTATTTATTTATTTATTTATTTATTTATTTATTTATTTATTTACTAGCTGTACCCGCCACGCTTTGCTGTGGCCAACCTTCCCTCTTTCTCTCCTTCTTTCCCTCCTTCCTTCACTCCTTCTTTCCTTCCTTCCTGTCTTTCCTTCTCTTCTTCCTTCTCTATCTCTTTCCTTCCTTCCCCTTTTTCTTTCTCTTCTGCCGTCTCTCTTTTTTTCCTTCTCTCTTTCCTTCTTTCCTTCCCTCTTTTTCCTTCTTCCCTCTCTTTCTCTCATCTTCCCCCTTCCTTCCTTTTCCTTCCTTCTCCCTTTTTTCTTTCCTTCTCTCCTTCCTTCCTCTCTACTTTCTTCTCCCTTTTTCTTTCCCTCCCTCTTTCTCTCCTTTCTTCCTTCTCTACCACTTTTCTTCCTTCCTTCTCTTTGCTTCCATGCTTCTTCTCCTTCTTTTTTCTTTCTTTCTTTCTTTCTTTCTTTTCTTTCTTTTCTTTCTTTCTTTCTTTTTCTCTTTCTTTCTTTCTTTCTTCTTTCTTTCCTCTTTTCTTTCTTTCTTCTTTCTTTCTTTTTCTTTCTCTTTCTTTTTTCTTTTCTCCCCTTCCCTACCTCTTTCTTCCCTTTTTCTGTATTGTCATTTAGCTTTTCGTCATTTAGCCTTTTGGGGCTTTTTAAGTCCCTTCTGCTGTGTTTTTCAGTGTTTTTTTTAGTGAAGGACAGACATTGGCCTGAGAGGTGCCTTGTGTCCACATTTGGTGTCAATTTTCCTTCCCATCTTTCCTTCTCTTCTTTCTTCCTTCTCTATCTCTTTCCTTCTTTCCCCCCTTTTCTTTCTCTTCTGCTCTCTCTTTTCTTCCTTCTCTCTTTCCTTCTTTCCTTCCCTCCCTCTTTCTCTACATCTTCCCCCTTCCTTCGCTCCCTATTTCCTTCCTTCTTTCCCTTTTTTCTTTCCTTCTCTCCTTCCTTCCTTCTCTAACTTTCCTTCCTTCCCCTTTTTTCCCTCCCTCTTTCTCTCCTTTCTTCCTTTGCTACCTCTTTCCTTCCTTCTCTCTTTGCTTCCATGCTTCCTTCTCCTTTTCCTTCTTTCTTTCCCTCCCTCTTTCTTTCTTTCTTTTCTCCCCTTCCCTCCCTCTTTCTTCCCTTTTTTCTGTATTGTCATTTAGTTTTCATCATTTAACTTTTGGGGGCTTTTTAAGTCCTTCTGCTGTGTTTTTCAGTGTTTTTATGAGTGAAGGACATACATTGGGTTGTTAGGTGTCTTGTGTCCAAATTTGTCAATTTCCCCAGTGGTTTTTGAATTCTGTTAATCCCACAAATGAACACTGCATTTTATTTATATAGATTTATTTATTTATCTATTTATTTATTTACAGTATTTATATTCCGCCCTTCTCGCCCCGCAGGGGACTCAGGGTGGATTACAATGTACATGGCAAACATTCAATGCCATAGACATACAACATACATTTATAGGTAAACACAGAGGCAATTTAACATTCCAGCTTTTTTTGAGAGTATTCTGGCCACCAAGGGAGCTGTCCCTTCACCGACCATTTTGTGATACTAATGAAGTACTTCCTCATTCTCTGCATGCTTGCTGGAGATTTTTATGGCCTCATAAATTAGTTAAATTTGCCTCCCCGCATAAGCGGTACCTAAATTTCCTACTTGACAGATGCAACTGTCTTTCGGGCTGCAAAGGTTGACAGCAAGCTACACAAAATTGGTCAGAAGCTCACTCCAACCCGGGCTGGCTTCGAACTCAAAACCTTTTGGTCAGTAGTGATCTTAATGCAGCTGACGCCCAGCCAGATGCATCACAGTCCCAGTGCAGCTCGTAACTGTTGGAGATTCATCTTTACAGTCATGAACGACTGTGTATAAAATTACCTTCAGGCTATGTGTATGAGCTGTGAATGAAACACGAATATATTTTGTGTTCAAACGTGGGTTCCATTGCCAAGATATCTATTTGCCTTATCTAAATGGGGCTGCAGTGGTGCAGCGGGTTAAACCGCTAAACTGCAGAATTTGCTGACCAGAAGGGTGGTTCAAATCCATGGGATGGGATGAGCCCCTGCTGTTAGGCTCAGTTTCTGCCAACCTAGCAATTGGAAAACATGCAAATGTGAGTAGATCAATAGGTACCGCCCCAATGGGAAGGTAACAATGCTTCTTGCAGCCATACTGGCCACATGACTTAGGAGGCGTCTACGGACAATAGACGCTTAGAAATCGAGATGAATACCACCCCCCAGAGTCGGACTCGACTAGACTTAATGTCAAGGGAAACCTTTACCTTTACCTTTAAAAGCATTTCAAACTCCCCAAAATCCCAAGGGACCTCTCCAGCTGTCTTTTCATGATATGCCAAAACTGGCGAGTTTTCCAGATGTAATTCCCCAATATCCCAATCTCCTTGGAAACACTTTGGTTGCGGCACTGCCAGTCTTGAAAGGTAGAGTTTTGAGGGTTGGCATCATCAAATGTAATGATAACAATGGAGATTTGTCATCAGAGTTACATCAATACTGCAAGCTCTTGTTCAAAAAGCAACTATTTACTTCCTCTGTTTCTCAAATGTGTGAAAAGTAGTTATTTTTCATTATTTTTTCAAAAATATGGGCAGTCTCAAAGTTACAAACAAGATAGGTTCTGTAGGTTTTATTACTATACTAGCTTAGGGACCCAGTGCTGCCCAGGTAATTTGAGAAAGGCATTGTGTGCCAAGGTTGGTTTTTATCAGTTATTTATGTGGCTCGCAGTACTCTCAGGAAGTTAGTGAAGGTACTGCAAGTCCCATCGTCCATGGCCCATCGTTCTCCAAACTGCACCAGGATTTAGAGTGGGTCATGGGGGCTCTGTGTGCCAAGTTTGGTCTTGATCAGTCATTGGATGAGGTCACAGCGGTCTCAGGAAGCAAGTGGAGGTCCTTCATGTCCCGTCATCCGTGGTCCATCCTCCTCGAAACTGCACCAGGATGTAGAGTGGGTCATGGGGGCTCTGTGAATCAAGTTTGGTCTTGACCAGTCATTGGATGAGGATTGCAGCGGTCTCGGGAAGTGAATGGATGTACTGCAAGTCCCATCATCCATGGCCCACCCTCCTCCAAACAGCAGTAGGATGTAGAGTGGGTCATGGGGGCTCTTGGTCTTTATCGGTCTTTGTTGCAGGTCACAGAAGTCTGTGGGAACAAAAGGGTGGGAATGTACTACAAATCCCATCATCCATTGTCCTTCCCCCAACCCTCACCATGACGTAAAGAGGGTCATGGGGGTTATGTGTGCCAAGTTTGGTCTTGATTGGTCATTGGATGAGGGTTGCAGCGGTCTCGGGAAGTGAGTGGAGGTACTTCAAGTCCCATCATCCATGGTCAGCCCTCCTCCAAACTGCAGTAGGATGTAGAGTGGGTCATGGGGGCTCTGTGTGCCAAGTTTGGTCTTTATCGGTCTTTGTTGGGGGCCACAGTGGTCTGTGGGAACCGATGGGTTTGAAAGTACTACAAATCCCATCATCCTTTGTCCATTCTCCCCCAAACCTCACCAGGACGTAAAGGGGGTCATGGGGGTTATGTGTGCCAAGTTTGGTCCAGGACCGTCACCCGTGCTGGTCACAGTGGCCTGTGAAAGTGGCAGCCAGTCAGAAAGCTGCCACATACACCACCCTCCCTCCGCATACAAACACTGACTTTTATTATATACATAGATTTCTGGCTTTGAAGTAAGCAAATTGGTAGCTATTAGAACTAGTAAATATGCTTTTGTGTCTGAAGCCACATATACTTACAATTTCTGTTGTCCGAGACTATTTTCAGACAATTCCTTTCACCGTCTTTAATTTAAAATCACAATATTGAATTTTCCCATTTTTGTTTTTACAGTCCAAAGTGCACACTCCTAGCCAGTGTTGGAAGAAAAGATATCTACAGAAACAGAAAGGATTACACAGATGTAAGTATATTATTTTATGCTAATTTTCATATCTGAGCTGTTTGTGATAGGATGCATTATATTAATAGATAATATTTTGGGACCTAGATATATGAGCCAGAGGGAGTGAAGATCTTCAGATGTCCATCCCCAATCTTCTTCGCTAATATTGACTTCTTCAAGGACAAATTGACAGCAGCTGTAAGTACTTTACTAGAAATATTTTTCAGTCGTGATTGTATAATTGCTTCCTTTAAGAATGAAGGAACTTTGCCTTATTTAATGGAGCATTGAGAGAAAATGTGGCTATTCTGCTTTCTGTATTTAAAAGTGTTGGAGTTCAGCCTGTGACTGTGTCTAATGATCAGGGCACTTTGGATGTTGGGAATGACAATGACAATGCTGTTTCTAATGATGAGAGTGCTTTAGATGCAGAGAATGACAAGGAGATTCCTGTTCAAAGTGTCTTTGCTGATGAGAATGGTCCTGAAAAATTGGGAGATTATATTTTATTTATTTATTTATTTATTCAAACTTATATGCCGCCACTCCCCGGAGGCTCGGAGCGGCTTACAAGAACAGGCTAAAATCTAACACAATTTTAAAACAATTTTAAAACAACAATATGAAGATCCAAGGCCTGTCGAAACAGATATGTCTTATATGCCGTGTTGCATCCCAGTTCAAGAAACGAGACCATAAGATTAAATCCACCACACTGGAAAAGCAATCCTTGTTTATTGATGAAAAATTGGTTACAAAAGAAAGGTAAATGCAAAGGTCAAAAAGCCACAGAAAAACACAGCAGTCAGTAGAAACTCTGAACTTGAGCAAAATTTCAAAAGCCACAATACAAGAACCAGGAATCTGTTAGCCTTTTACTAACCATGAACTTGATAACTAAGCCTCTGGGATTACCGGCCATGAAACACAGGAATTCTGCCAAGGCACAGCCACAGTCCCAAACGTTGCTTGATCTAAAGAGGCACTCTTAAACCAAAGAAGCTATTCTTTGAAACGCCCCTTGACTTTGACGTCTGGGCCTGTCTCTCCTGTAAACGATGTGACCTTCGTAGAAACTGGGAAACATTTCTGTCTCTAACTATCTGTTCTCTTCGGTCCTCATTAAAAACCCCAGGTGGAGAGATATCACGGCTAGTGATATCACGGCTAACTTCCAAAACATTTTCCTCCAGCTGTTGAGATTCATTTTCATCCCCGCTGACCTCTGCATCAACAACAGATTACACACTGTCAGGGTCAGGGAGAGCTTGCTCAGTTGGAAAAACTATCAGAGAATCCGGTTCACACAGATCAGGATCAGGCTGAACCCCAACACCCTGTGAAAAGCTGATAGGTCCCGCAAGGCATGGACTTCAGGTGGCAGAGTATTCCAGAGTGATGGTGCCACTGCTGTAAAGGCTCTGCGTCTGGTTGCTGTTAGACGCAAGGTCTTGACACTGGGAATTTCCAATAAATCTTGGTCCTCAGAATGGAGGGATCTCTGGGGTTGGTAGGGGGTGAGGCGGTCCCTCAGGTACATCGGCCCCAGACCATGCAAGGCCTTAAAGGTGAGTACCATCACTTTGAAAGTGATCCGGTGCTCAATTGGTAACCAACGCAGCTGTAGTAAGATTGGTGTTATGTGGCATCTCATCGGAATTCCTGCAAGAAGCCGAGCAGCTGCATTTTGTACCAACTTGAGCTTCCGGATCACCGACAGAGGAAGGCCAATGTAGAGGGCGTTACAGTAGTCCAGTCTTGAGATGACCGTAGCCTGGATCACCATAGCTAGGTCGTCCCTGGACAAGTAGGGGGCCAGCCACCTAGCCTGCCGCAGATGAAAAAAGGCGGTTCTGCTAATGGCGGAGACCTGGGCCTCCATCATCAGCAGAGAGTCCAAAAGGACTCCCAGACTCTTTACCAACGATGACGGGCGTAGCGCCTCGCCATCCAGGGTAGGCAGCTGGATATCCCCACTGTCTGGTTGACCCAGCCATAGGATGCTGGATTCACCCTCAACCTGCTGGCACGCAGCCATCCAGTAACGGCCTCGAGCACTGATGGAAATAATCGGGTACAGAGTCCGGTCGGCCTTCCATCTTCAGGACCAGCTGAGTGTCATCGGCATACTGATAACACTCAAGCCCAAAACCTCGAACCAGCTGAGCAAGTGGTCGCATATAGATGTTAAACAACAGAGGGGAAAGAATGGCTCCCTGAGGAACCCCACAAGATAGAGGGGACCTCTCAGAGACCAGGCCTCCTCTCTCCACTCGCTGTCCACGGTTGTGAAGAAAGGAGGACAGCCAATTTAAAGCTCCAACAGCAGCAAGGCGGTGGGTCAAAAGATTGTGGTCGACTGTGTCAAATGCTGCTGTGAGATCCAATAACACAAGCAGCGCCGACCCGTCCTGGTCAAGCTGGCGTCAAAGGTGATCCATGATGGAGACCATTTAGCATTTTCCAGAATTGCAATGAAAGTAAGCTGGTTTCTGTAATCTTCATTTTTATAAAATCAGGTCGGTTTCAAACCATTGAGGGTGCTACGCAAGCGTAACAAAGCTCTGAGGAAAATCAGAAGGATGCTGAAGAAAGGAGAGCTTCAAGTGACACCTGTAAGTATGCACCTGTCTTGGAAGGAAAGGGCCAATTTGTATGTTTTTTGCGAGGCGACTGGATTGGAGATCGGGCCAATTTTTCCCTTTATAGGCAGCCCCCAAGTTACAAACATCTGACTTTGCTGTCACGCACTGGGCCTATAGTAGTTGGTTTTTAAACAGGACATGCTCTTTGTGCCCAGCAGGAAGCCGGGGTGCCTCAAGTGAGAGGCCCTAAGGATTTTCCTATACAGAGTCTTTAGAAGCGGCAGCCAGGTTGTTAACTGGGGCTCCTTACAGAGAGAGGTCATCCCTCCTGTTCAAGGAGCTCCACTGGCTGCCATTCATTTATCGGACCCAATTCAAGGTGCAGGTTCTTACCTACAAAGCCCTGAATGGTTTGGGACCCACCTACCTGCGTGATCGCATCTCTGTATACGAACCCACACGATCCCTTCGATCATCCGGGGAGGCCCTGCTCTCGATCCCACCAGCTTCGCAGGCGCGATTGGTGGGGACGAGAGAGAGGGCCTTTTCGGTGGTGGCCCCTCGACTCTGGAACTCACTCCCTAAAGACATCAGACAGGCTCCAACTTTGGCAGTCTTCAGGAGGAGCTTGAAGACGTGGCTGTTCCAGTGTGCCTTCCCTGAATAATGACCCCACAGGAAATTCACTCCTGAAAGAGTTGTTATCATGGTGAAAAGGAGTCTCAACTGAAGCTTTCTCACCAATCTTTGTTTCCATAACAAGCTATTCTTTTTGAAATCCAATTGTCACAGGAACAGAAAGTGCAATGAAATCTTCTGATCAGGGGCATAGACACTTTGACATCCTTGATGTACATCATTGCTTGTCAAAGTACAAAAAGAGACTTTATGACCACATTCATAAAGATAAGATTTATAGCCCTAGTGTGGGAAAAAGTCGAGTCTTTCAATAAAGTGTTTTAAACTCCCTGTCAAGTTTCAGTCAAGAAAGCAGCGATAAGGGGGAATAGCATTGTGGATGTCTCTAAAACTGAAATAAAACTGGAATTCTCTGCCCCCATCTACATTGCCATATAAAATTCAGATTATCTACCTTGAACTGGAGTATATAGAAGTGTAGACTCATATACTCTAGTTCAGATAAGATAATTTTGATTATCTTTGATTTGGATTATATGGCAGTGTGGATCCAGCCTGAAATTCATGAAATTCATTACTTTAGTGGATGTTTTTGACTGTATTCCTGTTCTGTGATGTTCAAGGGAATGTGCTAAGTCAGTGAATCTCAAAGCTTGATTCTCCACTTGTTTTGGACTTCAACTTCCAGAAGCATCAGGCAGCTTCTCCAATGGTCAGGAAGCTCAAAAGATCAGGAGGATCAAAGTTTGGGAGCTACCGTGGCCTCTTCTACTTTTATATAAAATCCAGATTTACTTTTTTGAACTTGATTATATGTCAGCATAGACTCATATAGTCCAGTTCAAAGCGGATAAATGTGGATTGTGTACATTGATAATCTGAATTATAAGCAGTGTAGAACATTTAAGATGTTCCTACTACATCAAACAAAGCCCTAAAGGGTGGTGGGAGGATCTTTAATAAAAATAATAATAAAACTTTATTTATACTCCGCCACCATCTCCCCAAGGTGATTTGGTGTGGCTTACATGAGGCCACGCCCATCAATACAGTAAAACAATGTAACACAAGAACACAATAAAAAATAAAAATAAAATAACATAAGATGCAAAAACCAATTTAAATAAACAGCACAACAGTTTTTTGGTCGTGTCAGGAGCAACTTGAGAAACTGCAAGTCGCTTCTGGTGTCAGAGAATTGGCAGTCTGGAAGGACGTTGCCCAGGGGACGTCCGGATGTTATGATGTTTTAACATCCTTGTGGGAGGCTTCTCTCATGTCTCCGTGTGAGAAGCTGGAGCTGATAGAGGGAGCTCACCCGTGCTCTCCCCAGATTTGAACCTTCGACCTATCGGTCTTCAGTCCTGCCGGCACAGGGGTTTAACCCACTGCGCCACCGAGGGCTCCTAGCACAATAGTATAAAATCAGAACATTAAAACACTGAAATAATCACAGTGGGTAGGGCCAATGCAAAGATTAAAATTTAATTTAAAAAAAACCACTGGGTGATAGAGCAATGTAATGTATCAGGACAGGGGATCTGTGGGATAAGGTAGAATTTAATTGCACAGAGTGGAAAATAAAGTGCTTCTGAAGGCATTTTAACAGAGTTTGGTTGGGAATTATCGTACTTTCAATCATTGAAGGCACACTGGAACAGCCAAGTTTTCAGGCTCTTCCTAAAGACTACCAGAGTGGGGGGTTGCCTAATATCTCTGGGGAGTGAATTCTAGAGCTGAGGGGCCACTTCAGAGAAGGCCCTCTCCCTCATCCCCACCAGTCGCGCTTGCGATGGGGGCGGGAGCGAGAGAAGGGCCTCCCTGGAAGACTGAAGAGATCGTGTAGGTTCATAGACAGAAATGCGGCTGCACAGGTAGGCGGGTCCCAAACCATTCAGGGCTTTGTATGTAAGAAGCTGCACCTTGAATTTGGACCAGAAAATAAAGGGCAACCAATGGAGCTCCTTAAACAGGGGAGTTGATTGCTCCCTGTAATTTGCACCAGTTAGTAATCTGGCTGCCGCTCGTTGGATCAATTGGAATTTCTGGGGCGTCTTCAAGGGCAGCCCCACTTAGAGCGCATTGCAATAGCCCAATCTAGAGGTAACGAAGGTGTGGACCAACATGGCCAAATCCGACTTCACGAGGTACGGTCACAGTTGACGCACGAGCTTCAGTTGTACGAAGGCCCTCCCAGCTACCACCGACGCCTGCGCTTCAAGCGTTAGCGATGAATCTAGGAATACACCCAAACTGCGGGTCTGCGACTTCAGGGGGAGTACAGCCCCATCAAGCACTATACCTCGATTCGGCCTGCGAATGACCCGATTAAGTAATCTGGTTAAGTAATAAGAGTCCAGCCATTCCAGAGCTCTTCTTTTGGAACAGAATCCATTGCCCACAATCTTAATGTTGTGCATTGTGTTGTAAAGAAAGAAGGAAAATAACCTCCTCTCTAACATTGTGAGTTAATTCTGGGAAAAGAAAGTAGGCAGAGAGGGGAAGCAGTAAACATTTTAAACATTTACTACTTGAACTCCAGTGAACTGTTTTGTGTGAAAGTGTAGCGAGAAAAGAAAGACAACCCTCCGATGATGGATGGTTTTAAATCTGACCATGTAAAGATTCCTGTAAATACAGAGGTCACTGTGTCTAGATGCGTCTAACAGAGAAATACTAGGGCTGGGCAACCACGGAAAAATTTGTTTTTAAACTCGATTCGTTTTTTGGGTTTTTTTGCGTTTCAATATTTAAAAGAATTCCGAAATTTTTCTTTAAAAAAGTTCGATATTTACGAAATTTCGTAAAATTACGAAACGAATACGAAACAAATATGAAACGAATACGAATCGATTCGTTAATGGCGGACGCGACGCTAAAAAACCTCCATATGGGACAGGGGGAACTTCTGAAGCTTCCCTCTCCCTCTGTTGTTGACTGTTGGTGTGATATTTATAATTTTTTTTCACTGATTAAACAAACAACAGCTATAAAACTTGCACCAGACATGCGGAAATAATAACGAAACGATTTCGAAACGATTTCGAAACGAATACGAAACAATTACGAAACGAATTGAAAATTTCGTTTAGTTTTTTAGATGCTCCTGAATGATTCGTTATCGCTTTGTAACCAAAAAAAATAACGAATTTTTAACGAATTACGAAATTACGAAACGAAACCGCCCAGCCCTAAGAAATACCTTTCCTTGAAAAATATCTCTTGTGCCAATTTATGATCACAATATCACACGTACTGGATTCCTCCCATCAAGCAATGGCTACACTGATTGATTTTGGTTTCCACTGACATCACACAACTGCTTTCTATTCAAATCGATTCTGAGAAGGATTTGCAAGAATCTGAATAAAGTTTCTAAAAATCATTCCTTGATTAATTTCATCCAATCCCCTGAATAGAGAGGAAAACTGATTTGTAGGGATATTGCTAACTTACATAGATCATATGCAGTGAGCCTTTGGTTTCCACTGGCATTTGGATATCAAAATATGGAATATTTTCAATCCATAGATGGTCAAATCCTTGGATACAGAATCATGGATATGGGGCCAACAGTACTGATGTCGTGTAAGCAAATATTTGAACATATGTAGAATAAATCCATTAGACTTCCATGATATGAACTGCATTGGCTTGGCAGTGTCATTTTCTGTAAGATACCCATACACCAGACTACCCCATAAATTGGCACAAAATATGTTTTTCAAGGAAGAGTATTTCTCGGTTGCAGATTAAAAACCATGCATCATCCATCAGAGTTTCAATCTAAAATTTGCTGAAATTCAGTCCTACAACTGATTGGAAGTCTACTTCCAGTTTTTATCTCCAGTGTTTACTTTGATGTTTATTAACATTTTTTATTTTTGTTTGGTTTGACCAAAAATCATGTTTGGGGAAGGCAAAGCTGTACTAGAAATGCTTTCTTTAAAAGAACAGCATTTTAACTGTAAAATCTAGAGATGTTGGAACTCAGCGAGAATGTGATGTAACAGCATTTTCTCAACACTTTCCACCTGAACAGGGAAAAGTAACACTTGTGATATGTGGAAGCTTTGCCATCTATCTATATAAATAAAAATGTACTGTTAGTTTGTGGGATTAACATAACTCAAAAACCACTGGACGAATCGACACCAAATTTGATCACAAGACACCTAACAACCCAATGTATGTCCTTCACTCAAAAGAAATTGATTTTGTCATTTGAGAGTTGTAGTTGCTGGGATTTATAGTTCACCTACAATCAAAGAGCATGGAATTGAACCAAACCTGGCACACAGAACTCCCATGACCAACACAAAATACTGTAAGGGCTTGGTGGTCATTGACCTTCAGTTCTGGAGTTGTAGTTCACTTACATCCAGAGAGCACTGTAGACAAACAATGATGGATCAGGACCAAACCTGGCACTAATACTTAATATGCCCAAATGTGAACACTGGTGGAGTTTGGGGCAAATACAATATTGACTTTTGGGAGTTGTAGTGCTGGGATTTATAGTTCACCTACAATCACAGAGCATTCTGAACCTCACCAATGATAGAATTGGGCCAAACCTCCCACACAGAACCCCCATGTGGGCCACAGCAACGTGTGGCAGGGGACGGATAGTGTATGTGTGTGTGTGTGTGTGTGTGTGTGTGTGTGTATATATATATATATATAATGTTTGTTTGTGGGACGCACATAACTCAAAAACCACTGGACGAAATGTCACCAAATTTGGCCACAAGACACTTACTAACCCAAAGAGTGACCATCACTCAAAGAATCACCAAAAACAGTGAAAATAACATTAAAATCCAAAAAAGGTAGAAAATGACACAGTGTGTGCGCGCAAATGCATTCCATGGCCCCGCCCCCTCCTGCACGAGGACACAGTAAGCGTGAGAAGCACCACCGACCATACTCCCTCTTCTGGCCATAGCAGGAGCTAGGAATGGATGGCAAAATGGTGGGTTCAGTGAGGGGGGAGCCTCATTCACCACCAGGGATGAAAGGAGAGAAGGAAGGAAGGAAGGAAGGAAGGAAGGAAGGAAGGAAGGAAGGAAGGAAGGAAGGAAGGAAGGAAGGAAGGAAGGAGAGAAGGAGAGAAAGATGGAAAGAAGGAAAGAGAGAAGGAAGGATGGAAGCAAAGAGCGAAGGAAGGAAGGAAGAAAAGAAAGAGGTAGAGAAGGAAAAAAGGAGAGAAATTAAAATGGGAAAGAAAAAGGGAGGGGAAAGAAGGAAAGAGGTAAAGAAGGAAGGGCGGAGAGAAGGAAAGACAAAAAGGGAAGGAAGGAAAGAGGGAGGGAAGGTAGGCCACAGCAACATGTGGTGGGTACAACTAGTATAGTGTAACAAATGCATTATTGAGATTATAATACATTGGAAAGCTTTTGGTCATATGGAAAGTTATAGGAGTTGTAATTCTACAGAACTCGATAGCTGAACTATTTCAACATGAAAACTCATGTTTGCGGGTTCTTATTTTCAATCTCCCTTCTCCATAGAAGACACAGGTAAGCATCTTACCTTGACTAGCAGTAAGAGTCCTATAACATCTTCTCATTAATCATTATTTCTTACATGTTCTTTTTTCCATACAGAAAGGTTTTATTTGCACTGTTAATGCTGTGAATGATTCCGACGAAGAACTGGATAACAACCACATTGAAGAACTGGATCAGCCTACAGATACCAAAGACTTGCCAATTCAGATAGACTGGTCTTCCAGCCTTCCTCCCAGCATCACAGTTCCAACAGTCGATATTCACAGCCTCGTTCTTGATTTCTCTGCAGTGTCATTTCTTGATGTTTCTGCAATGAGAGTCCTCAAAGAGGTAATTGTATTCCACACATGATCCAGACAGTGGATGTAGAAGTGAAATAGTTTTTCATGCTGTTTCATTTATATCCCAAGCAACTTACGGCATCCTAATTTTCTTCCTCTCAATCCTAACTTGGGATCCTTTATCACTACCCTGTTATAGCACTATAATTCTATTTTAATTGTCATGGCAACATCCAGTGGAATCCTGGGATTTGTACTTAAGTATTTAGTATTCTCAGCTAGAGCTCTAGAGCCTCACAAACACAATATTTCATTTGATGCATTGCACTCCAGGACAGGAAAAGCCCTCTGACTTTAAACAACACATGTTGAATAGGAAAATAATCCTTTTATTGGACATAATTTAAAAAAAAAACAGCAAAGTAAAAAGCACTTTAAAGAAATAGGTAAATCCAATTAGGTAAGAAGATCAGGAACAAAATAGTCCAGGGTAAAGCTCAGTAAAGTCCATGAAAATAAAGTCCAGACTTCTCTAATACAATCCAGAAAACCAGGAAACATTAATCCAAGGCATGAGTATGTAGTCATAAAATCCAAGAAACAAGAAATACTTAAGTATGAATTTTCCAAGCTAGGCTTCCATGAAACAAGGACAAGAACTCAACTTGATTCCAAACAATGTTTCATCTGTCTACATTTCCCGTACTTGGGATTTTTATACCCTCGTTAAGCTATCCTAAGAACTCAGAAATTGGTTTCACTTTAATTGAGATTCCCTTATCTTTTTCTGTCAGAGCCTGCAGAGCGCCGAAGCCACTGTTCCACTTGTCTGTTTTGACTAGTCTCTTGCTGTCTATCTATTTGTTTTCAAGCCCCAAATCCTGGGAACTCTCTGGTAGCAATTCAGGGAATACACCGTCATCCCCACACCCTTCAGGGACATTCTCATGGGAAACTACACTTTGATCAGGGATCTCCTGTTCATTCTCTGCATCAATATCATTGAGCAAACCATTGCCAGATTGCAACTCATTGACATCACTCCCACATTCAAAGCACCCTGATCCGGAAACACAATCACAGGATGTTGTCATGGCTGTTACAAGTGGAATCAGTGGTATAACACGGTGGTTTGAAAGGACCCTGAAAAGCTAGCATCAGTTGGAGTCTATTGTAACTGCTCTAAATCAGTTATCAGTTATCAGAGCCCCTGGTGGAGCAGTGGGTTAAAGCCCTGTGCCGACAGGACTGAAGACTGACAGGTCGCAGTTTCAAATCCGGGGAGAGGCGGATGAGCTCCCTCTATCAGTTCCTACTCCTCATGCAGGGACATGAGAGAAACCTCCCACAAGGATGATAAAACATCAAATCATCCAAGCGTCCCCTGGGCAATGTCCTTGCAGACAGCCAATTCTCTCACGCCAGAAGCAACTTGCAGTTTCTCAGGTTGCTCCTGACACGATAAAAAAAAAAGTTATCAGAGCAGCTGAAAAGTATTCTGCACCCTCCTCAGCGTAACATCCTTTCAAAAGCTGAATGAACAAAATGTGTTTTGCCACATGCATGACAGAACAGCTTCTGGCCAAAATGTGGTGGTATTCATGACACACACTGTATCGAGCATAAAAGGTCTGTGCTTACTTATATGGCAGCACTTTATTCTCTGCTAAAAAGGTGAAACTTTTCTTAATGTTTGCCAACTGTCAACCAATTGCTAAAGGCCATTCATTTCTTCTTTAACAGACTTTGAAAGAGTTTATCCGGATTGATGTGGATGTATATATTGTAGGAGCACATGGTAAGCTGATCCAGTTCCATATGTCATTCAAGCCATATTGCATGGTCTAAGTTTGATTAGTATCCAGTCTTTAATGTCCCAAAGAAACAAAACACTAGTCCTTCTCCTCTGTGGCTCCCCGACTCTGGAACTCATTACCTGGAGAGATCAGGAAGGCCCTACACTAGAAACCTTTAAAAAGAACCTTAAAACCTGGCTCTTTTGCTGCGCCTTTGGCGCGTAGGTGCAGAAGCAGAATAGTCCTTTGTCTCCACTCCCAAATTGTTTTCTCTGCCTAAAAATCTTATTTGTTCCTTTATCTTGCAGAGGGCCTTCTGGACAAACTAGAAAGATGTGGATTTTTTGATGATGAAATTAAGTCATCTATGTTCTTCCTTACTATTCATGATGCTGTTATATATATAATGATGAAAAAGGGCATTGTGGAAAGCTTACCAAAGTACACATCCATTATGGTAAGAAATTAATCAAGTTTTTGATTTGCTCACTGAATAGCATCTTAACTATCGTAAGTGAATTTTGTGCACCTTACTGTAGTATTTTTAAATCTAAGCCTTGGTAGATTCCCTAGAGCAGTGATTCTCAACCTGTTGGTCCCCAGGTGTTTTGGACTACAACTCCCAGAAATCCCAGCCAGCTTACCACCTGTTAGGATTTCTGGGAGTTGAAGGCCAAAACATCTGGGGACCCACAGGTTAAGAACCACTGACCTAAAGGCACCAGATTTTTTCTGATGCTGGAAGAAAAACAGGGTCAGACCTGGGCTGTTGTAGGTTTTTTCTGGGTATATGGCCATGTTCTAGAGCAGAGGTTCTCAACCTGGGGTCCCCAGATGTTTTTGGCCTCCAACTCCCAGAAATCCCAGCCAGTTTACCAGCTGTAAGGGTTTCTGGGAATTGAAGGCCAAAAACTTCTGGGGACCCCAGATTGAGAACCACTGTTCTATAGGCATTCTGTCCTGACGTTTTGCCTGCATCTATGGCAAGCATCCTCAGAGGTAGCATCCTCACCTCACTACCTCTGAGGATGCTTGCCATAGATGCAGGCAAAACGTCAGGACAGAATGCCTCTAGAACATGGCCATATAGCCCGAAAAAACCTACAATAACCCAGTGATTCCTGCCATGAAAGCCTTCGACAATACAGGGCCAGGCCTGTTTATTACTTGGATGGGAGACCCTCAAGAAATAACAAGTGCTGTATACTATATTCCAGAGGAAGGAACTGGCAAAACCACCACTTTAAAAACCCTATGAAATTAATGGGCCACCATAAGTAGACTTGAAGGCACATACTCGCAGAGAGAAATAGTATAATATAGCACCTTTCTCCATGAATTCAATATTCACATTTTCACTTACCCAAAATCAAAAAAAAAATCTGTCATAGAAGTGTTTGTGGTCCTCTCTTGGTCCTTCAGTATCATGTGTCCAGCTCAAGTATAACTGAAATGTAGGATTAGCTATTACACTATGTAACACAGTTTTTGTTCTTGGGTTATAAATGTCCTTTCCTAATGAGCTCTATCATAAAAAACAAGGTTTATTAAACTGCAAAGACATCCTGCAACACATTTTGTGAGACATCCTGCAACACATTTTGTTAGTTTTTCAACAAAATCTCATAGAGTCTCAACCAATTCAACATAGTTTGTGGCAGCCACAAAAATGAAATTTCTGGAGTATAACAACTACTTTCAAAGTAAATAGTGCACAATTAAACAGGAAATAACTTCAAAACAAGAACAGATTTTTTTCAAAGTTTGTTACATAGTGTTACTTGTGGTCTTAGGTATCCTTGGAGGGGAGTGAAATATTTTCCATCAATCCTGGTATTATAAGAGAATTTTATATCTGTTCACAATGGCAGTTTATTTTAAGCCAGTAATAAAATCAGAACGGATCAGGAACAAAATCTGGGGACATTTTCATCACTCTGCATATGCCTTTAGTTAACAAATTACTGTTCCTATTATGAGCACAATCCTAAACTAATAGAAAAATGACTAATATCAGGTCAGCAATGTTACGAATCAAGGGCTTTGCAAAGCCGCATGAAAAAAAATGAAAAATCCCTCACTCTGCGATATGTTTTCTACCACAGGAGAAGGAAAAGGAAAACAAAGATCATTTTATAATCAATACAAATGGAGGACTACGTAATCGGGAATTCATGGTAAGGCCAACTTTTTTGCCCAGGTTTTGAAAGAATAGCTTAGGTTAAGAGCATTACTGTCCTGAAGTAGCACCCCTAGTACAAATGACTAAATACCTGATCTAAATTTTAAATAAAGACACTACCCATTTGTGCCCTTTGGGGAGCTACCTGCCACACACTTGCCATTTCTCAAAACCAGGAAATAATGTGAGAATGTTCAGTGATTCTTGGTCTTAATCTGAGGCTGTTTCAAGTGGGCTGAAACAGCATTAACAAAACCAGGCTCGCATACCCTGTATTGTGCCAAAAATATAAATACATAAACTTGAGGTTAGCGTGACAGTTGGAGTCCAAGTGCATTCCCTGGGCTGCACAATCCCCCCACCCTTATTTAACAACAACAACAAAACTTGGTTTATATTTTGCCCTTCTCACCCCAAAAGGGACTCAGGGCGGATCACAGTACACATACACGGCAAACATTCATTGCCGTTTGTATAGACAGTACACAGACAGACAGAACAGAAGGAGGTGTGTTGTTTTGATGCCATGGACGGTTGGGCTCAAGTCCACAGAGGGTGCTGTTGCTCCATCCTCTATGACAAAGAGCCATCAGGACTTCCTCATTCCAGTATTTTCTGACCTTCTTTTCTTTATGGCATTGTAAAACACTTCCCCTGCTTTTAGCGATAACTAATTTCTCTAATTACAGCTAAAGCTGTTTTCGCACTGCTTAAGTAAACAGTGAGCAGGGCTGACGGTCGGCCGCTCACTCCAACTTGGGGCTTTGAACTTTCAACCTTTCGGTTGATAGATCTTATAGTTGCTGATGATTTACCAGCTGTACTAAACCTCCAGCAATGATGAAAAAATAGGATTGAGACATCTGTGGGCATGGGTAGCAAATTATGGTGCAAACAAGTTGTCATTTTCCTCTGCATCTTCATGAATTGCATTGGTACATGGAGCATCTCTTATCCAGAATTCCAAAATACAAAATATTCCAAAACCCAAAATTGTCACTTGGATGGCTGAGATGGTTCAATGTACACAAACTAGATTATAGGTGTAAGGTGTATATGAAATATAAATGAGTTTTGTGTTTAGACATGGGTCCCATCTCTAAGATATATTTGTGTATGTACAGGTAGTCCCTGAGTTACAAACATCCGACTTACAAATAACTCATAGTTAAAAACAGGGGTGAGACAACAATAAATAATAATAATAATAATAATAATAATAATAATAATAATAATAATCCTTTATTTATACCCCGCTACCATCTCCCACAGGACTCAGTGCGGCTTACAAGAGGCCGAGCCCACAACACATTAATAAAACACAACAACAACAATACAACAATAGATCACTCATAACAAAACAAAACAATAACAATAATATCACGACCCATTTAAAAACCTGTGGCAGGGCCAAATGTAATTATTTAAATTTTAAAAATGCTAGGCATGTCCAAGAGATATAGGATGGATATTTTAGGGATAGGTGGGCATGCAGACAATTCTAAATCTCTCGTAAAGTGCATTTGGGACATATTGCTTGGGATTCCTTATTCTGGGAAGGCACACTGGAACATCCACGTTTTCAAGCTCCTTCTAAAGACTGCCAACGTTGGGGCATGCCTGATGTCCTTGGGGAGGGAGTTCCAGAGTCGTGGGGCCACCACCGAGAAGGCCCTGTCCCTCGTTCCCACCAATCGTGCTTGCGATGCAGGTGGGATCGTGAGCAGGGCCTCTCCAGATGAAGAGATCGTGTGGGTTCGTATACAGAAATGCGGTCACGCAGGTAGATGGGTCCCAAACCATTTAGGGCTTTGTAGGTAAGCACCTGCACCTTGAATTGGGCCCGGAAAATGAACGGCAGCCAATGGAGCTCCTTAAACAGGAGGGTTGACCTCTCCCTGTAAGCAATCTATCCCTCGGAGGGGAAATCCACTCCTGAAAGAGTCATCATGGGGAAAAGGTGTCTCTAGTGAAGCTTTCCTCGCTAATCCTTGTTTCCACAACGAGCCAATTTTTTCAAAGTCCAATTATCACCGGGACAGAAAGTGAGGTGAAATCTTCCAAACAGGGGCACAGACAGCAAAACAAATACCACAGGGATGTTATCTCTTCCTTATACTATCCAAAGCTAAAACATAAATATTTTTTGGCTGGAGCTATATTTTAAAAAATGTACCTGTTCTGAGTTACATACAAATTCAACTTAAGAACAAACCTACATAACTTGGGGACAACCTCTATATGTAATTATAAGTGTATTCCAACCCCCACCCCCTCCAAATTGAACATTTTTGGTCATAAGCATTTTGGATAAGGGACACTCAACCTGTATTTCCATAGCTTATAGTAAGGCTAAGAAAAACTGCCATGGTCCCTCCACCACTAAATTTGGACTGGTCCAACTCTCAGTTTGTAAGAGACTATTTATTAGCATGTTTCAAAAGCTGAAAGATGCTTCAGTCTGGTGCAGTAAACAGGACAGGACTGTGCTCAGATTTACATATCGAAAATGCCTTATATGCCCTTGAGATCAAAGGGTGACATGTTTTTCTTCTTTCTACCCATAGGCACCACCAGAAACAAAATTTTAATTATCATAATTTTTTGCAATGAGAAAGGAAACGGCCGGAATATTAAAAGCTGGGAAATAACAGAAGCGTTGCCACTATAGTGAACGATTTCAGGAAAGCACTGTGTACATATCAGTCTGTCTGTGTATATATATATGTAGAACATTAAAATTATGTGGAAGTTCTGATTTTATCCAATCTTGAATTATCAAAAAGTTAGAAATAAATGTAATTTATATTCATGTATATTTGTAAATAAGTCCGGTTATAGGTGCATTGTACAGTCACTATTGCGTTCTTGGTTTATATTGCATTTCAAAATGTTTTACATTTTATATAAAACATGATATTTTGTATGAACTACTTTCAGAGTTTTTAAAAGCTCTTCTCTATCTCATTAAATTTTCAAACGAATTTACTTTGCAGAGTACCATACAAATGAATTCTATGAATTATACTATGCTTATTAAAAGTATATTTATACCTTCAATAATGTTGTATTCAATTATTGAGTAAACAAAAGGTTTCCAAAACCGTTAGCAGGATGATACCCTTTCACAACTGGCATTGTTTCATCTTTATTACAATTTGAAGTAACTGCTCTTAAATCCTTCACAATACATGGTGGATAGGGTTGACAAGGAATTCTCATTAGAAGAAATGTCCCTTATTTGTCAACCAGAATTATTGCCCCTTATAAAGCTGGAAGATGTCTAATAATAATAATAATAATTATAATAATTATTATGATTATTATTATTATTATTATTTTATTTTTATACCCTGCCAGCCAGTTTGCTTTTTGTAGACTCGCTATTTTGCAGTTGCATAGGCTCAGCCTCCTCGCCCTCTTTACCTTCCTCCTCGTCTTCCTCCAGGCTGGGTGCGACCTCGAGGCGGAGGGAAACTAGCACCCAGACAGCGGCCAATCCCAGCTTGAGATCAGTGCAGGCTGGGGAGAAATCTTTATCCTTTCTTTTCCTCTTTTTTGTCCTCGCCTGGAAGGAACAGCGGGTGCGCACTCCAAAGAGAGAGAGAGAGAGATTGATCGAGAGAGAGGGGCCATCTTCCAAAGGGAGGGCAGATAGGAGACACACGTATACTGTACATATACAGTATAGCGTCCCTACTTCACGGAATTTCACTTATCACGGATCCTGGAACATAACACCCGCGATAAGTGAAGGAATACTGTATTCATAAAACAATATAAGTACCGGACATGGAAGATGAAAATATAACAATGTTAGAAGCAGTGTGCAAAATATTCCCATAAAGTGTATACAATCATTTTCCTTAAGTATCACACAAAGGAGGGAAGACAAGATATACATATTTTCATGGGGTTTAACTGCTTGTACTTGCAAGAGAAGAATTGTGTTGAGGACACAAATAGCTTTGCCTGGTCAATTAAAAACTACACATCAAAAACTAGTCGTTTGGAGAGATTTTAGGGCATTGTAGGATTTCATCCCAGTTATATTCATGAGAGGAGCCCCCAGTGGCGCAGTGGGTTAAAGCACTGAGCTGCTGAGCTTGTTGATCGAAAGGTCGCAGGTTCGATTCCGGGGAGCGGCGTGAGCTTCCGCTGTCAGCCCTAGCTTCTGCCAACCTAGCAGTTCGAAAACATGCAAATGTGAGTAGATCAATAGGTACCGCTCTGGCGGGAAGGTAACTGCGCTCCATGCAGTCATGCCGGCCACATGACCTTGGAGGTGTCTACGGACAACGCTGGCTCTTCGGCTTAGAAATGGAGATGAGCACCACACCCCAGAGTCAGACATGACTGGACTTAATGTCAGGGGACTACCTTTACCATTTACCTATATTCATGAGACCTTCAAGTTTTGGGTTGTTGTAGGTTTTTCTGGGCTATATGGCCATGTTCTGGAGGCAATTTTTCTCCTGACGTTTCGCCTGCATCTATGGCAAGCATCCTCAGAGGTAGTGAGGTCTGTTGGAAGTAGGAAAAATGGGTTTATATATCTGTGGAATGACCAGGGTGGAACAAATGCTGGGGCTAGATGTGAATGTTTCAGCTGATCACCTTGATTTGCATTCAATGGCCTGGAAGCGCCTGAGGGGAATCTCTTGTTGAGAGTGATTTTATGTGCCTGTTTGTTTCACTATTTGGAGCCACGGAGAAGAAGAACTCATCAGGTTCCTGGGACATCTTAACAGCACCCACCCAAACATCCAATTCACAATGGAAAAAGAAAATGAAGGAAGACTGCCTTTTCTAGATGTCCTGGTTATTCGCAAACCAGAT